ATGGGTTAACATGCCAGACTGCAAAGCCATTTGAACTGCAAGATCAGCAGTTCAAGCTCATCAGCTGCTCCTCGGAAACCCTATGTAGGGTTGCTATGGGTCGGAATTGACTTGATGGCACTTAACAACAACAACATTACAAGGTCAGCTCTGGTTATAAGTTATTGCTTTAGTTCCACAAATATATACAGCATGAAGAAGGAAAGTTGTATTGGTAAAAAGCTTTAGTTAAGATGCAAAATTTGCTTTACCTTTTAAGCATAAGAAGGATTTAAAAGTAGTCTTTGGTAGCAAAGATTCCAATATAGTGTGGTCCTGGTTTTATTTTCTGTCACTGTAAAGCTAGCAACAAAAATCTGCCTGTTAATATGGTGTCATGATCACATTATTACAAAATTATTTAAATTTTTGTTTGAAATAATTTTATGTCCTTTTAGAACATTTTTAGGTACTTCTTACATATATGATCATAAAAATCATTAGAGTGTTACATGTAATTGTTAAAATTTTTAATTGTTTTATGTTTGTTTTTGTTTGTTTGTTTGTTACCTACTCTTCTAGAGTGATGTAAGGGAGAAACAGAAGACTCTTGTTGAACAGCTCCTGTCTTTGATGAATAGTTCTCCGGGACCTCCTACACGGAAACTCCTTGCTAAGAATCTAGCCATTCTTTATAGTATTGGAGACACATTTTCTGTTTATGAGACAATCGATAAATGTAATGATCTTATTCGTAGCAAAGATGATTCTCCAAGTTACCTTCCCACTAAACTGTAAGTTAAACATTAAAACTGACTGAAAAACAAAATAATGCTTGCTTCTTATATCATATTTGTGAAATACCCATACTACTTGATAGTTCTTTTGAAACTGCATACAAATTCACTTTTACTCATTGTTTTTGTTTGTTTTTTTAACAGTCAAGCATTTCCCATTGGCTAAGAAACAGCTCTTTGAAAATATTTTAGACATACTTGAACTCTAGATTTGAAATTAAAAGCTTTCTCACTAAAATTTTAGCAGTTGTCTATTTAAGAAAAAGGTTTTTTTAGGATAAGCCCTAGACCACAAGCTCAATTTGAACTGCACGGTAGCAGTTCAAACACACCAGCCGCTTCTTGGAAACCCAATATAGGGTTGCTGTAAGTCAAAACTAACTTGACAACATTTAACAACAACAACATCTTTCTCCAGAGCAATCAGTTAATTTTATTACCTTTCAATATTTTAGAAAAAGCAGTGAAGCATTCATGACTCTGCAGTAGCAGCAGTTCTGTAGAAATGTTTAGTGATCTAATTTTTAGCATATTACAGAATGTGTTTTCTCAGAGTTTTTAGCTTTAAAACTTCATGGGAACAATGATTTTTAAAAATACTTTGTTTTTATTATCTTTTTTTTTTCAAGTCCAGCTTTGATTATCTGATATATGAAATTGAGTTGTATTAAAATACTTTGCAGAATTTTGTTTTGTAAAAACAATTGAGGGGGTAGAATCTTAGAACTGAGATTTTGAATAATTTAAGATTAATACATTCTTTCAAAAATCTTATTCAAAGTGTAATATTTTGACGTTAAACTGAGTGTGATAACTTAGTATTTAACAATGGAGTAGAATCTGGGAAATTTTATCCTTTGAAAATTATAATTAAATTGTCACCTTTTTGTGTTCTTAGTGTTTTTCATTTCTATTTTTCATAGCCATGACTGATTTCTTGTTTAAATGTTGTTTCAGTGCTGCTGTTGTATGTTTGGGTTCCTTGTACAAGAAATTAGGAAGACTGTTAGGTAACACCTTCACTGATACTGTGGGAAATATTCTTAAAGCAATGAAAAGTGCAGAGGTAAGTAACTACAAGTTCAAACAGAATAAAATGATATCATGTTATAGGTGTTATGGCTTCTTAACCATAACAAGAGCCTCCCATGTAACAAGCATATAAATAGGTATGTATATAACTGTATTCATAAATGAAATCTAAGTGATCCACATTTGTACTTTATATATTAACTCCTTATAAGAAAATTAATAATGCTGTGAGATTTCATTGCAGATTGTAGATTGCTAATAAGTCTTCTTCCAGTCCTGATGCCTTGTTCTTCAGCATATAATCAAGCTTCTCAGATTATTTGCAAAGCATACAGATTGAATAAATACAGTGAAATGATACAACCCTGGCACACAACTTTCCTGATTTTAAACCATTCCCTATCCCCTAGTTCTGTTCAAATGACTGCCTCTTGGTCTTGAATATTCACCCAAATCCAAATTGGCAAAAATTAAACTTTTCCTTTAACAGTTCTATTCCTGCTCTTCACATTTACACCACATTTTCCATCTGGTTCTATTCAGAAGTGAAATGGATTAGTTGATGTAATAAATACCATCAGAAAGAATGAAAACTATAATCATGTTGGAAAAGAATATAGAGATCTTACGTAAGACTAAGACCTGAATGGCTTTTTAATTGTCCAGGAGAGTGTGTTCCCAGACACATCATCTTTGACTTGTTTACATCGTTCACCACTGTGGAATACCCTTTCTTTTTGAAGCTGTCTCTTCATTTGATTTCCAAGATAACTAATCTCTCCAACATCATTTGACATCCAACATATTGTTATCTCTTCTCAATTGTATTTTACTGATCTGTATATTTGTATATCAAAAAAATTTAACTCTATGAACCCTATTGTGTAAGGATAGTTCAGCACCTTTAAATGTAAAAACACTGTAACAGTTACTGTTCTAACCTTAGAACAGTCTTAGAACTGTTCTAACATTCTGTAAAACAGCTCTGTGATACTTCGTAGAAATGATGAGTAGTAACATGCACATTTTTTTTTTTTAATGTAGCAAGACAGCACATGGGAGAATTTTAATGTAAAAGGTGTCAGGTTTCAAGAAAGATGTTGTTGTAAGGTTAAATTGATTATATTCTGATTCTTGGTAATCCTATGTATAATAGAATGAAATGCTGCCTCTTCCTGTGCAACTTCACAAGCAGTGCTATGTTTAAGCCCATTTTCACAGCTATTGTGTCAGTGCATCTTATTGGAGGGCTTCCTCTTTTTCGAAGACCCTCTGCTTTACCAAGCATGATGTCTTTCTCCAGGGATTAGTCCTGCCTAATAACTTGTTCCAAGTATGGGAGACCAATTCTCGCCATTCTCGTTTCCAGGGAGCATCCTAACTGTACTTCTTCTAAAACAGATTTGTTTATTCTTCTGGCAGTCTGTGCTATATTCAGTATTCTTTGCCCAAACCAGTATTCAATAACATCAATTCATCAGCCTTCCTTATTCAAATTGCCTAGCTTTAGCTTGTATATGAGGTGACTGAGAATACCATGGTTTGAGTTAGGTGCACCTAAATCTGCAATGTGATATCTTTATTCTTTAACTTTAAAGAGGTCTTTTGCAGATTTGCCTAATGTATGTAATATGTCATTTGATTTCTTGACCACTTCAAGCAAAATGAAGTTTTTGATGCCTTCTGTCTGTGCTCCATTTATCTTGATGCTATTTATTGGTTCCATTGTGAGGATTTTTGTTTTCTTTACATTGAGATGCAA